TATATTAATAATGTTTCTTATCAATCCTACTGACTCTTCTGATATTTATTTACAGAAGATCCTTAAGAAGCCTATTCTCTCCTTTTCTCTGTCCATCTGGCTTTTAATATGCCTTGTGTGTGTCAAATTTTCCAATTCATCTATCTTCATTATGTTTCCTAAAAATTTCAACTGTCTTTTTCTGAATCTTAGTATAAGCGATTTTTTCCTATTTTCCTTCAAACTTCCTTGATACACACGTGTTAATTCCATGGTATGCTCATCATCCTTCTGTAGAACCCCATTTCTTTTTTCTCAAGTTTCTTCACCTGAGATGAGACTGCAAAGCTTTAATTGCCATATGGGGACCGATATTAAATAATAGTCCAGTACTCTTTTCTTTGTTTATAATGAAATTATCTTGTTTCTTATTACTTTGCTTAGCTTTTGGCTTACCTTATTTGTTATTCAAAAGCGTCTTTGGGTTTCGCTGACCCATTTTCTCTCCTACGAGTAGGAAATTTGACTCATATGTTCTGTTTGTATTTAAATGGGTCTGTATTATAGTGCGTTGTGTTGTAATGGATGTCGGCTCGGGATGAGAACTCGGAGAGGCGAGTTCGAATTCCATTCGAGTTAGTTATATTCACTTACGCAGAAATACCTTTAGGAAAGGTATGAATCCATCTCTTCTCCCCAGATATGGGATAAATAGTGGGACAGCCTGGGTTCTTTGACAACCAGTCAAACGCATAAAGAAATGGCAACCTACTGAGGGAACACATTTCCGCTTCGGTCAGACATGTAACGAAAGATACCTGATCGTCCAAGCGTGTATTACGTGTGGCGGATAACTGAGTGACTGAGCGTGCCTTTAAGAGGTTATGATTGTATTTTGGTGGCAGAAGCATCCTGTAGCTGGTCAGTTCTAAGCTGTCTGAGCGGAACTTCCTTCTTCTGAGTAGAATACGAATGGAATGAGGATGAAGCGACCTTGGGTATGTGGTATAGTGTGTCCTAGATGGGAAGGTCTGAACTAGTGAAACGAAAGATAAGAATTTAATCTGAACATCTGACATGAATATAGTGATAGAATAGTTAAAGCCTAACAGTGTGTCAGTGAGAAAAAGGTTTGTAAGTTGGAAAATAATCCATCACCCACAAGATCGCGTAAACGTTTTTGTATTATGTCGAGGTAAGAAATATGGTCACTGTATTCGATCTTTGGCACGATCTATTTCTTGTAAAATATCAATACATTCTGTACGATCCCGAAGTTAAGCAACGTCGAACCTTGTCAGTATACCGCTTGGGTATACTACATGCTGTAAGTTTGGATGTGCGGGTGGTGTAATGGATAATGACTCGGAATTGTTAATCTGAGAGCCGAGTTCCAATTCCAGTCGGGTTTGTCATATTCACTCACGCGCAAATACTATTGGGAAATTTATGAAACTAGCGTTTCTCCCCCAGTTATGGATTAATTACTAAAACTTGTATCACTGAAACATTATCATCTACAAGAATAGAATAGTGTACAAAATATTTATATTTCAGCATTAAATAACCCATAGAGGTGTTGATATGCCGCTAAACAAAGACAACTAAAACAACCGTCCTTTTAATAAAAGTCAACGAATATTTTTAGTTTTCTATCATCTTTCGTGATGATATGATTTCAGGCCAGAATGTGTAGGTTCCGCCCGATTTCTAAATAGTGTGAGTGTATATATATATATATATATATATATATATATATATATATATATCCAGCAGCCTTTTTTTCTGACCGGACAATAAAATTCCAGATTGTGTCTCTATTTTCGTTCGCATTGGTGTACACAAAAGCTTAGAAAGTTCCATAGCGCTCAGAATGGAATAAAAGATAAAAATAAGCACATCCGCAAGAAACGAAGACTCTAAATTTGTGTTATGGTCCGGTTCCTTGTACCACGGTGATAGTCCAAGGTAGAACCAATAAAGAAGAACTCGAACACGGATATGGAATAACACAGATATATTACAAACAGGAATATATACAAAGAAGTAGAAAGTGTTAGTACGAACAATCAGGTTTCGTAGTAATTGTCTGAACGCGAACGTTTCGGACTGCCTCTGACTCGACTGACTGACTCGCTCGCTCGATCTGACTGACTGACTGACAGACTTCTGACGGACCTCACTCGAGACTTAAGACTGAACAGTATTTAATCACCCCTCCACCACGAGGGCATCAGGTGGTACAAGGCCGGCTTAACGTGGGATCTCCGAGCCCGTGGGCTCGGCCAAAAATATGCCCTTTGAGCCCGTATAAACGGGTTCAGGGTCGGTTTACCTGCCCGAAAGAGACCCCGCCCTTCGGCGTAGCCTCGTTCGGGTTCCTCCCCGCCCGAAGGCAGAGAGTTCAACCGATCAGCCGATTAGCCGGTCGTCCGACTTCAGACTGAACAGTATTTAGTCACCCCCCCACGAGGGCGTCATGTGGCACAAGGCCGGTTTAACGTGGGTTTCCGAGCCCGTGGGATCGGCCAAAAATATGCTATTTCCGAAATATTTCATAAATCCTCCTGCAAAGTCAAGCTTAGGGACACTTGAAGAGAGCTCTCACATCTCTGTCACAGCGGACTTGCAGATCAGCTGTTCCTCTCAAACATCGAAAATTCTTTCTCTTACAAACTCTCTACAAAAGTTAAGATACTTGAATATCGCTAAGCATTAGTTGAGCTTATCATAATTTTATTGACGACTTAAGCACTAAAAATGTCGTCTAGATTTACAGAATTGTATTTGTCATCGCGTTAATAATAGACCCAACGTAAATATGACAATGGTCTCAAAACCTTCAAGAGCAATCAGCCGAATACGACATCGCAATATTTAGCAAAGTTGCTATATTAGTTCACCAGCATTTCAAAAGTTATATGCCAAGCAGGATCAGGACGTTAAGCCAGCGTGAATAATCTGGCAACGGTCAACAAGTGACCACGTCCTGAAGCAAAGATTTTCCTGTTTTTCTAATCTCGAGTGAACCTTTTAATCCTATGAATTATCGCAATATACTACAGTCTTCTCAATCTATACCAATGTTAGTAACCTTTTACGCCATAGTTGCATTATCGTCTTGCTTGGAGTGAAACGATTTGCAAAAATATATAATCAAACAAATGTTTAATCGTACATATATATATATATATATATATATATATATATATATATTCAGTCGGGTTTCTATCCTAGCTAGAGGCAACCGGACGTCTAGCCACACTGAAGAACTGTGATACAGCGAAACAGTCTGTCTGTGGATGACAATATATAGGCTCCTGAAAAATTAATTTCGCTTGAGCTCTCTGGGGGAAGAACTGAGGGTTTGTAAACAATGATAGCTACGGCTATTATAGAATATAAAACGAATTGAGACCTCAGTTACTGTGTGTTTATCTAAAAATAAATACGCCTAAATTCACTTTCGCAGTTGCTGTGTGCCGACGACTTAGTGGTGGAATCTCCGACTGACTCTAATTCTAGTCGGGTTTCGATCCTAGCTAGAGGCAACCGGATGTCTAGCCGCACTGATGAGTTGTGATACGGCGAAACAGTCTGTGTGTCTCTCTCTCTCTATATATATATGTATATATAAATGTTTGAACCATTTTTCAATTGCTCATATTTTTTGTACACTCCAACTTAATTTCTGGAAATTCACAATCTCGGATGGTTTTATTTTCGTAAAAAGTATTTTGGTAATGTTTTTTTTTACTTCGAAAATTTATTGCTGATAATAATATTTTTACAAAGTATTTCTGGAAGTAAAGCCTATTTTTACACTTTCATAGTGCTTCTACCCCAGTTTCTGGGTTAACTATTTGCCCATAGCTGGGACCCTAACAGGTTCCACCACTCCGGATCCGAGCGCACCTGGGAACACCAGCAAATAATAGGTGGTTCAACGCTCCTCAAAACCTCCTGATCAGAGGCTTTGCTGCTGGATGTAGTTTATCGTCTTACCCAGGACGTTGGATGTTATTACTTATGTTATTACTTATATATATATATATATATATATATATATATATATATATATATATATATATCCTCACCGACTCGGATTTGCCTACACAACACAATCTTCAGATGCTGAGTGTAGTTCGACACTTTTGTAAATACAAAAGAAGACGTTGAAGTCAAGACTCACAGGCGACAGAACATGTTTTATGTTAAACGTAAACGTACCAGGTCATGTGTGTGGTATTTGCTCCACTATTTATATATACAGATCAGTGAGGCATTGTGGGTAATCTATTGTATTATTCAAACGCTTATTTTGTTGGCCGGTTACGGTTTCGACTTATTCTAGGAGATATTGATTGGAAATAATTCAGGATCCTAACGCAGTTGTTTGGCTATTCAACCGTTAAAATAATAAAATAGTATACCCACATTGCATCACTGACCTTTATATATAAATAGTCGAGAAAATGCACACAGCCATGGCCTGACGATTGCGTTAGAATGAAACAGACTGTCGCATCTGGGAGTTGACTTCAATGCCCACTGATATATATATATATATATATATATATATATATATAGATATAGATATAGATATATAGATATATATATATATGTGTGTGTGTGTGTGTGTGTATTTACGTGCAGTACTATTGGAAACCGCTCAATATGAGTGATAGAGCTAGCATATTCACTTGTATGGATATGAATTTCTGACCTTGGCTTTCACGCTTTTGTGACCAGACATACAACTGAATATATATATATATATATATATATATATAAAGGGTGGAGTTTAGTGTTTAGTAGTCAGTTGTAATGAAAAATGGGAGCTTTTATTTCCTCGGGAATGACAAAATGTGAAAACAATATGGATGGTTTTCGCGGATAAGTCAAATAACGATGCACTTTGTTTAACTATATAAGAAATAAGTAATAATATCAAAGATCAAATTATATCAAAGGATGGTATATTTAATTCTCAACATGGTAGTGCTCCATCTACCAATGAGATGTATAGTAAATCAGCTGGTTGCATATCTAACCTCTTCTTACAGCTCTTTTCCCTTCTTTTTCTTCTTCTTTCAATTCTTTTCCCTTCATTTTCTTCTTCTTCTTCTTCTTCTTCTTTTTCTTTCAGCTCTTTTCCTTTCTTCTTCTACATTTTCTTCTTCATTTTCTTCTTCTTTCATTTCTTTTCCTATTCTTCTCCTTATTTTTCTACTTTTAATTATTTTCTTTCTTCTTCTTCTTCTTCTTCTTCTTCTTCTTCATTTTCTTCTTTTTTCTTCTTCTTTTACTCCTTCTTCTTCTTTTCCTACTTTCAATCCTGTTCCTTTCTTCTTCCTCTTCTTCTTCTTTCAGCTCTTGTCCCCTTCTTCTTCATTTTATTCTTTATCTTCTTCGTCTTCTTTCAGCTCTTTTCCCTTCTTCTTCTTTCAGCTCTTGTCCCCTTCTTCTTCTTCATTTTATTCTTTATCTTCTTCGTCTTCTGTTGTGGTACGATCCACCTAATTTACATAGTGGAGTACCGACCATATAAATATGGGTTGGTACCGGAAGACGAGGGAGAAGCAAGAAGAGATCGAATCGAGAGACTCTGCCCGACTGCGATTAAGTCAACCCATTCTACAGGAACAGTCTTCCCAAGAATATACCAAAACTAACTGTAAATATTGTGTACCTTTTCCTTGTTTCAATACATTTTGTTTACGTACATTTTGTGTTGTATTATTATTATTCCATGCTTATCCAAGCTTCAACATCTTCTTTCAGCTCTTTTCCTTTCTTCTTCTTCTTTCAATTCTTTTCCCTTCATTTTCTTCTTCTTCTTCTTCTTCTCCTACTTCTTCTTCTTCTTTTTTTCTTCTTCTTTCAGGTCTTGTCCCCTTCTTCTTCTTCTTCATTTTATTCTTTATCTTCGTCTTCTTTCAGCACTTTTCTCTACTTCTTCTTCTTCCAATTCTTTGCCTTTCATTTTCTTCTTCTTCTTCTTCTTCTTCTTCTTCTTCTTCTTCTTCTGCTTCTTCTTCTTCTTCTTCTTTCAGCTGTTTTCTCTTTCTTCTTCTTCATTTTATTCTTCATCTTCTTCGTCTTCTTTCAGCTCTTTTGCCTCCTCCTTCTTCTTCTTCTTCTTCTTCTTCTTCTTCTTTCAGGTCTTTCCCTTCTACTACTTCTTCTTCATCTTTTTCCATGTGTTAAGTCAGATTGTGATGTCTACGTTGTAACTGAGCTTCATCCTCTCATTTCTGTAAATAATTCCATGATAACTGTCCTGATGAACTTTCCTCTACTGTACCTAGACGTTATGAATGAAAGTGCGGTAGATTCGTGACAAGACAGGAGCATGATACAGTTGAAATGGCGAGATGTAACCGTAAGTTCTACACCAGCACTTTCTTCTCTCACATCTTGCTTGTAGCAATCTCTACCTACTTTTTACTTCCCAATCAATTTTGATTTCAAAAAAGTAAACGCAATTTCAATTTTTATCTTCTGTCTTCATAATTCTTGTTCTTTTATTATTCTCTGTCCCAGTAACAGCATTTGCAAGAACAATTTGAATTATATCGTCACGGTGATTTTCCCAGTTGCGTTCTTGCTGTTCCCGAACATCCATGAATTTGCATGGATGGAACTTCAGATCGATATGTAAAATTCTTCTGGCAGCTTGATCAGACAATTCCAGAGCAGAAGAATGCTTACGGGCTGAACGTTTAAAAGACTGAAGAACAGATTCTCAAAGCCTGGACATTTTTGGAGTTCAAGTTCTTCAGAATCGATTTCTTTTAAGTTCTAAACCTGTGGCCCTGAAATGTTCAACCCATAGCTGTCTCGATATTTTGGAACAGCATCATTTCAAAAGTAGCATAAAAAGAACACGAAAAGATCTGTGTTTCAAATACAGATCCACTGATCTTTTTAAGAAAAAAAACTAAAAAACAAAAACGTTTCAACAACAAAATCACAGTGTTCATCGGCCCAAGCCATGACGATAACTGACGGTATGTTAAAAAAATGTCAAGACATTAGCTATTTAAAGACGCCATTGCCAATTGACTGAGATCAGAATCACATTAGAAGTAACGGTTTAAAATATGGGAGAGATTTCTACCGCACACTGTATGAGCTTCTGAGAAAAAGTAACCTTATCCAAATTACAAAGTGCGCTTTCCTTAAAATTGGTAAAACAGCGTTGTGGGGCTGTTATTCTCACTTTAATTGAGCGTTAAAGAACGCCTTATCAAACGGTGATTTTCCCTACACAGTGGACACAATTTCGATTCCTGTTGTAATAAGATTTCTCGAGTTTGCGAAACAGTTAAATATAAAACCACAAGATTTTATATGGAAGAAACCGCACCTTGAGACGGAACCGACTGGTTGGTCTGAGTTACAAATATACCGGGTGTAACAGCAAAATTGCGCAAATCGTGCAACAGAATTATCCACCCCACAAAATGTTTAATATTTAAAAAGCACTAAACTAATCCAGTTACTTTTTCCAGTTTTTCAGATAAGGCCTTTAGCCTTTTTGACACCATTTGTCGTAAGAATCACTGAAAATACTTTTGAGATATTCAGCTACAAAGAGATCAGGTTAAAATCGTTTTGTGTCATCCCCACTGTCTTCCCAAATGAGCAATGGTGAGAGGAAAAAGTCCATACAGGCCTGCAGTAATGGTACCAGCATTCATACTCTGGCTTCTATTTTCAATGTTAATTCAATAACCATCAAGAGAACGGTGAATAAGTTTAAAAAAGAAAGAACAGTAGAGAAGAAAACTGCATCTGGAGGTCACAACGGGAGGAGAGATGATTATTTCAACATAGAGCTAAATATATCAATAAGAAAAGATTCAGCTCAATTCATAAGACATTTGGCATGTGAGAGAGGAGTTTCGTCAATGACAGTCCAAAGAGAAGTGAACAAAAGACTTGAAAATATAATCGTATGTGAAACGTGTGAGGCAGCTCGTTACTCCAAGACAGAAAGTCAGAAGGTTAAAGAAGGCGAAGATCATTTTAAATAACTTGGAAAATGACCCAGGAATAATATATATATATATATATATATATATATATATATATATATATATATAAATCCCTCATGAGATTCCAATCTCTATCTATAAAAGGCAGGATGTGTGTGGGTGTGTGTGTAACGAATGCACGGCCGCAATTTTCGACGGATTTTCACAAAAATTTACATGCACATGCTCCAAGATAGCGGGAAGGCCAATACCGAATTTGCATTTCCCAACTCCCATAGTTAGTGGAAATAATCGAACATGCTTCTACGGCAGTTTTTATGTAGTGTGTGGCCATTTTCTACTGGCCAGAGTGAGATCCTATAGCAGGCTGCCACGAATAGGCAGGAAGATTCTATTGGCGAGCGTAAGAGTCAACAGCTGACTGACACGAATGTTAACTAGCAAGCAAAAAAATCGATAGCTGCATTCGTCACAAGTGGGAAAAATTTAAATCTGCATGGCACTTTACTCCAATTGGCTCATTCGCTTGCTTAAACTCAACGTTGATTTTGATTCCGCAGAACTGGGTTGGGTGTGAAAAAGTATTTGTTGTTAACATTCTTTTTTCAATCTGTTTTTCCAGTTACGAATTCTTTTTTAAAGCTGATCGTTTTGTGTTCATTTTGTTTAGTTCTTTTTTTGTAACAGATTTAATGTTTAGAATAGAGCTTAGAAAAAATTCGCAGTGTGAGATAGGCAAGAAGTAAGGCATGTAGCAACATCAGCACGGTAAAGGGCACTTCTTTAAAGGCAAGAAATATTTTAAGCCAAGTGATAGCGATTGCTGTATGAGTCGTACGATTTTTGAATCAAGTACGGGCAACGCCGAGTCATGCTGCTAGTCCTTAACTATAATTAATTAATGATGAAACATGTCGTTTTTTTATGATCAATTTCATCACGCTTCTTCTGTTAATCTTGGAGAGTAATTATACATTCTTATTGCTTAAAGTAGAGTATATTGTATAAAAACCTCGGAGAATTCCAATAAGATAACTCGAACAATTTCTAAGATACAATTTTTCAGAGCTAAATCTAACAATTAAATTTACTTTTAACTGAAATATTAATGTTTTGTTATCTGGTTATTTCTTTTTTTTAATTACATATTTATGAAATGGATGATGAGCATTATTTTCTATATAAATATATATATTTCAATATTTGAAAACTAAATTTTAAGATTTAAAATTAAATTGATTTTGGCGTACAAATAATGTAATAGCTCATGCCTATGTGCATCCGCTGGTGTAATTGTGCGTCTGTTTATTCCTGTATTTGCGTGTGCACGCACCTTTTGGTGTCGTCTATTCTATGCGTGTATGTATGTGTGCCCTTGTGTGTTTGTATAGCTTTCATCAGTGTGCGTGTGTAAATGAATTCCTATGTATCTCCACCAGGCACAATTTTCGGCCATCTTTAAATATCCACCCATATTATCGGAAGCCATTTTTGTTGGCACGCCGTTTGTCCTCTCGGTGATGGACGAGAGAATGATGGATCCCCACCAGCATCGCCGCCGTCTCCGTTCTGCTCGCTGGAACTGATTTCCAAATTCTCCAAACGAATTCCCGATTTTGATCACAAATCTTCGTGTTGGGGCTAAATTTGAGTGTGGAGACATTTTCGAACAGATAGACAAGACCTTTGGCCTTCCCATGACAGTTATGAAGCTAAATACGCCCCTTGGCCATTTTCTGACTTGGGATGAACCTATAAATAGTGAAAAGATTTTGTTGTGGATCGGTATTATCCTTTTGTCGGCTCGTGTGCACTTGTGTGTGAAAGTGAAAATGACTTTATCTGTGTTTGCCAGATTAATATAGCCATGGAGCAAACGTTAACAGGCCACTCTCACAGATCATTATTATTTTAAGTATTTTGTTTTTCACTGAGTATCTGTTGCGGCTTTTTGTGGATTGCCTTATTACATTTTCTATTCAAACTAGTTAGATCCATAATTATCAGCGTTGGTCGCAAGGATAACCTTGTGGTACTGTGAGCCCTCAATATGTGACAATGTGTGCGTTAAATAGTGAGAATAAGTTATTGTTAATGATTAGGATGAGAAGTTATCCTTATTACAAAAACAGCAGCGACAGCGTTTCATATAAATATATCATATTTCTGAAATACGATATTTGGAAGTGTCAGGTGATGTATAAAATCCGTGATGTGGGGTGTCTTCACTGGCCTGTGAAATGTTGAATCGGCAATTAGGGAAAAATGATGTTATCCTGCAAAAAAAGAGATCCGTCCTCCAAAGTTTTTCTATGAGTATTTTAGCCTCGTCGGATATGAGTCCACAATGGTAATATTGGGAATTCGCTCACTAGAATTCCCCTAGTGTGGACAATAAAAGTAGCCAATACAAATTATAAGCGCTGTTCTTTGTTTTTCTTAGCAAAACATTCCTCCCGGTGAAAACATGGCTGATTTGAGTTTCACTGAGAAATAGCGACGTCGAAGATTCTGAAGAGAATCAGGTTGACGACCGCAGTGACACGACCGATACGGCATACTATGTAACAATGGTCACTCCATCTTCAGCAATTCAAGCCACATATTTAAACATATATGATATATGGTGCCAACGTTAGAAATGGGAACAGTATTATTTGATGCACGGTGGAGTAATGGATAACGGCTCGGAATCGGAGACCCGATTTCGAATTCCAGTCGAGTCCATTACATTCACTTACGTGCTAATACCCTTGAGAAAAGTATATTAAATAACAGGACAGTCTAGGTTCTGGTCTACGGCAGAATGAAATGGCAACCTACTGCGGGGAAAAATCTGCCTCGTCAGTCATGTGTCGAATGATACATGATCGTCTAAACGAGTATTACGCATGGCACATAACTGAAGGGTTTCTATATTTTACCAGTGTAATAAAACTTTATAATAATTTCTGAACTACTTCAAGTCATTTTATATACACCTATGTCTATTTTAACATATTCCTAAATTTTTTTAGTAAGTGCTCACAAAATACAAATTTTATTGACCCCTTGAGAGAGAACAACTGCCTATGGCTTTTGGGTGAAGTTAAAGAAGGTGAAAAATATAGATGATAAAGATATGTAGGAATGATAATGTTAAACCTACTATTTTAAGAGGTGTTATGATGTTGATTTCGGGTTAGTAGAGACAAACGCCAAATAACA